GGAAACCACAGCCACTCAGTCTTGGATGGGTTGAGCCTGAGCCTGTTCCTCCCCATCCAGATCCGTATGGCCTCCAGGCACTGGGACATCACTTCAAGGGCATCGTTGGGGTGGTCCGGGGTGGAGATGTACAGCTGGGTGTCATCAGCGTACTGATGGTACTTCACCCCGAAACCACAGATGATCTCGCCCAGCGGCTTTACATAAATGTTGAACAAAAGGGGCGAGAGGGCCGATCCCTGCGGTACCCCACATATGAGGGGCCTCGGGGTCGATCTCTGCCCCCCTGTCAACACAGACTGCGACCGGTCGGAGAGAAAGGAGAACCACCGTAATACGGTGCCTCCCACCCCCAACTCTTCCAACCGGTGCAGCATGATACCATGGTCGATGGTATCAAAAGCCGCTGAGAGATCTAACAGGACCAAGACAGAGGAGCAACCCCTGTCCCGAGCCCTTACAATATAAGTTGTAAAAATACAAGCAACATGGATATAGCCATAAGTGGGAAGAGATAGGTACTAGTAAGGATGAGAAGAATAGTAATAGTCTTAGTAGTTAATTTGACAGTGTTGTGGGAATTAGTTGTTTAGCAGAGTGATGGCATTCAGGAAAAAAATGTACATATACATGTATGAAAATGTACATGTATAAATTTTGAACTTCTTTTTTCTCAATATCAAACTGGGGAGAAGTAGTACAGTGGAGGGACTGGCATTTGATCTGAAGAAGTAACAAATCTACCTCCCAGTCAGGGTGAATGCTAAAGGAGAGTCCATTCTTAATATTTTCCGGGACACTACATGCAATTGTTAACAGCAATTAGGAATAGTTAACTTAAGATGTGCATAGCAAGTGAAGAATTCCCTATCCTTATGCTCACAGGTGATTACAGGGAAATAATCAAAATTAATCCTAACCTCTTGTGAAAATGCTATTGGAAATCAGTAGTTGCAAGTTCCCAGCATTTTGAATTAGGAGGAGCCAGGGAAAGCATAAAGTTGTTTTTTTAAAAAAACCCACCAATACTTAATAATAGCTTTGCTGTGGGTAAAGTAAAAATGAGAGAAGATGGATAAAAGTTTCAAAAGAGCTAATAACCACCCAGCCACCCACTTCCCAAGCTGCCGCCCAACTACCTAGAAGCATTTTTTTAAAGTACATATTATTGTTCCTAGCTAGATCTAGGCCATTTTCAAACTTCATCTTTCTTTTGCCACCGTTTCCCCCAAATCAAATTCAGTGATGCTGATGGATAGGTATGATTCTGACCTCTTTTACTGAAGCTGTACAATATCAGAATCAAAAATGGACAAAGCTTTGGATCCAGTACAGGTGCCTTCCCTGTATTTTAAAGAAGCAACATCTTTTCCTGGGTTTGGGAAGCAGCTGCACAGGCTGCTACTGTGCAGCTTGCATTTTCCTCAGGAGGTGTTAATAAAACAACAGAATGGGAACATGTGGTCACATCCTGTCATTGCCTCTGTAATGATTCTTGAATTCAAGTGTGTATTTCTTTTATGCTATACAACAGGGATGTCAAACTCATGGCATCACGTCAGTGTCACGTGACATATTGGGACTGTTTTCCCCTTTGCTAAACCGGATGTGGGCTTGGCCAGCGCATGATGCATCCGGTCCGAGGGCTGGGAATTTGACAGGCCAAAGGTGCTGAGTGTTTGAGACACAGAGAAGGTAGTCTCCAGTGATCAGAGGCAATAGATGGCAAACAACCCCTTTACAACATGGCAGTCTTCATTGTGAATTGCATGCCAAGCTGAGAAATAGAAAAGTAGGAAAAAGGTTAATGTTTGCAAAGGTTTTTGAAAGTTCTATTTTTAAATTGGTGTAAAATATGTTTTCATTGGTTCAGCCAACTTTTCTACAGCCTTCTTGCTGAATAATTTGAAGGCTATTGTGTTGTCCACTATTCATCCATGCCATGCCTAAAACAGATTCAAAGATACTATTGCAGTAAAGCCATCCAAATTGACCGAGTTAATGATCTTTACCACTCCTGCTCTATTCTTCATTCTGTCAGTGAAGTACCTTCATTGCTTTGAATGTTCCCCATTATAATTTATTTTTTTAATTGAATCTTTAAATGGTTCAAATTCAGCTAAGTTGCCATTGGACCTTTAATCACAACGTTAAGATGAATTATGTTTGACATAATTATCAAATTTCCAATCCAAATCAAATATGCTGTTCACATAGGCCTAATGTCCCCAAAGTTACTACATACAAATGGCCAAACACCTCAGCCTGCCAAACATTGAGAATTTTAACATAAAATGAAATAGTAGACAAACAGTACCAAGGTTAATGGCAATGCTTTTATCGTTATTCTATTTCTCTTTTCCCAACAAAACAGTGCCTTTCATGATGCCTTTGCAGAAGAAACCAAGAGCTTATTTTTGCAGTCAGGAACTGTTCATTTTAAGCCAATCCAACAATTTCCATGACATGCTAAAAATTCAAAACTGTGGTTTCTCATAGCTGATTACTAGCTTCTTTATACAACTTTTATGTTATTGTAAAAGCAGCTTTAGCCTACTTGCACAGTAAAATAACTGCTCTTCCACAATTGAATATAAGTATATTAAAACTCCAGAGACCTTTCAATGGAAAGAAGTTACTCATGTAGAACTTTCAGGTTACAAGTTTTAATACATTATTCATAAAAACATGTTTAACAAAGACTAAAACAAAATTCAGGAGGTCAGGTATGTCCATCTTGTTTATTACTTCCTGGACCCTTTGATAGGAATCTTCTTTTTCTAAAAGAAAACTTAATTTGATTATAATAGTGACCTCACAAAGTTAATAGATGCAAAATTATATTTTCTTTCTGTAACTTTTTTTTAGGATAATACTTCCCAATTTGTATTTATGTCATTGTATTCAGAATTCCTATCATCTTCTGCTATCACCAGCTCACATTTTGCTCTTAATTTAACTCTAGCACTAATTACCAAACAAACCCAATAAGATAAATTGTACAGATTATCTGGCAGAGAATTATTTGGAGTAAACTTGTCATAAAAAGCAACTGCATAATTTAACGAAATAATTTGATTTTTATTGACAGGCCAGGTAGCTTTTGATATCCTTTTTAGAAATACTTCAAAAAAAAAAAATTAACAGTATTTTCTTAACAATATGTATTCTACAAATGCACACACCAAGTAGAATTATCTAAATAACTAGTCTCTAGCCAGAAATGCACAATAGGTAAATACTTGCAATCTGAAAGTATAAATTTACACAAGCACATTTTGGTGTTTGCTTAAATTGCTTTCATGTTTTCTATTATATAAACTTCAGCTACAGAACCAACTTACAAAACACACAAGATAACAGCATGAAGTATCTTCATGAAGTATTATATTCTACAACTACCTTTTACCCTTCCTACCATTATTAGTAAAGTGCTGCCTGTCATGCAAAAATATACTGTAGATTAATATATAGTTTTTTCTTCCTGGCATAACACACAGTACAATAACTGCTTCATAGATGCCATAAAAATATAAAAGAAAGAAATATTTTATCTCCCATTTTTTATCATTATTGATTTCAACATATTGCCTACTTTGTTTCTGAATATTTGTCATTCATTATGTAAAATGAGTATTACATACATTGTGGCAAGTAATGAATTGAGAACCAAATTTACCCAACATTCATTATCCAAAAAAGCAACATTGTCTGAATGCTTTCTTCATTTAGTCTCAATTGAATGAACAAGGACTATATCAAAGTTTATAAACTGGCCCATTTAATGGCAGAGGAAGTGCTTGGATTTTTAATGGTTTACTTTTACTGGAATTATCTCAGTTCAGTATAGTTTTGAGATCCTAGACTGAAAATAAGAAACTTGACATAGATAACTGCTAAATATTTTAAAGCTGCCCTTGGCTAATTTTGGTTCTGGCCTGTACTTGGATGAGAGAACTTCAGGAAATGACAGGATTGTGGGCTAGACTGCGAAATAAGAATACATGTCTCCCAGAAAGTGTCAATGGCAAATCACTTCTATGCTACTGTTTTAAAACTATATAGACGTGTCCATGAAACCACCAAGAGCTGAGCTGTACTTCACAGAAACATTAAAAGAGAAATGTCTGATATCAGCAGCTACATCTACTTCTGGGATTTGATTCCACCAGCAGAAACAGTCTGAGTAGACTTGTGTCTGTAATACTTTTGATGTCAGTAATGGAATAATGATTCAGCTTCTCTCATATTTATTACAATTCTCATCATCCACCTCCCCCACTATTGTATAGTCCATTAATTTTCCAAAGGAATTCAGCTGCGGAGTGAGACAGTGAAATGCATAGGAAAGGTAAAATCAACAAAATCTCCACTACCCCCAGCACCATAATTAATCCACTGAATACAGAGACTTCTGCAGATGGAGATAGTTTTTATAAGCACTAAAATTTAAAATTGCAGTTGAAATCATCATTTAGTTTAAAGCAATTCGTTTTTTAAGCCGCGGTGGCACAATGGTTAGAATGCAGTACTGCAGGCTACATCTGCTGACAGCCGGCTACCTGCAATTTGGCAGATTGAATGTCACCAGGCTCAAGGTTGACTCAGCCTTCCATCCTTCCAAGGTCAGTAAAATGAGGACCCAGATTGTTGGTGGCAATATGCTGATTCTGTAAACTGCTTAGAGATGGCTGTAAAAGCACTGTGAAGTGGTATATAAGTCTAAGTGCTATTGCTATTGTTTGCTCGGCCTAAAATAATCTGTAACATATTTGTATTTAGATATATTGTACACACAGGGTGCTAATATGAATCAAAAATAAGAGCATGCTATAGTAATGTCAAATGTCCTTTTCAATCTGCCTTACAGAACAAGGTTTCCTGGTGTCTCCCATCTAAGTACAACCAAGATTCAATTCTGCTTAGCTTTTCAGTATTAGCCAAGGCCAGTTGGGTAGTATCATCTAGACTAGCTTATTAATAAATAGTGAAAAGACAGCCCACTTAATTCTTTTTTATAATTTATTTTTATCACATCAAACCCATTAGCAAGAGAAAATTGCATACATGACAGAATAAAATAACAGTGTTTTTTAAAGAATACAGGAAAAAGAAAAAAATGGAAAATGATCACATAGACAAGCATCTCCAAGGCATTTGACTAGATTGCTTTAAAAAAAGAGAGAGCAAGAAAGCCCTCTGTGATGCTCTCTTGTTAGGAACAAACATATACCCTGCAATTCAAATGTAAAGACCACATACATCAGTAGTCTATTGTAAAATAGTAGTAGTTTTCCCTTGTTGTAAAGGAAATACTTCTGCATCCACCATGTGGAAAAAGTCCGCAATACTTGATGCATTATAAATATTAAAGGTGTAATAAGACAAAACATAGGCATCCTTATCTATAACAATTGGCTTCAAATCTTGTTAACAGTTATGTGTATTTCAGCCCACAATATACAGACAAGTCCGAACCATGCAAATTAGTGCTCAAACATTGCAAGTGCATCTCCCAAAAAAAGTTGATTGCAATCAACTCTTATTAAACATTCTGTGTCAAATAAACATGAAATAAAATTTTCTATTATAAGAACCTCATTTTAAGATAAAAATAAATTTCACATTCTTTAAAGCAACTTATTGGTTTACACAAACAGGACATACTCCTGAAATCAAAGAATGTAAAAACAGTTTCTTGGCCTTTTGGCTGAGATCAAGTCTAATAGGAACAGCTAATATTAATTTAATAAATTTCCTTCAATTTTTTAAATCAGCAGTGATTGTAAGTTTAACATTGTTAATTAATGCTGCAAAACCTGTATCAGCTTTGAATAACTTCAGAAACAGCAATGGAATAATGGTCAAAGAACTCAAATAACAAGAGCTAAAACTGAATTAAACAGTGAGTCTTGTGTAAACTTGGCTTAAAATTCTATCACTGGTTTTGTAGAACTATATGAAGGCTATTGCTTAACGCATTGTAAGCCGCCCTGAGCCTCTGGAGAAGGGCGGCATATAAATCAAATTAAAAAAACAAAAAACAAAACCCTAAGTTGATCCAAAGTGATGATAATGTGAAATTGACAAAGGACCTACTTAAAAAACAATGGCTACTACAACTTGGATGTTCACCCTTCATGGTGAACAAAGTGAGCAAAGAGACAATAAAAGATTACAGGAATGCTATTTTATTATACCTTACAACAATAAAAATCAAAGCAGGGGTATTCTGAGATTCTTTCTCATACCTTTTATTTTCCCAGAACTGAATTGCCTATTATTTTATCTTAACTATTGCTACATACCCTCTTCAAGATTAACCCTCTATACTGGGTTGTCCCAAATGAGCTTTTTATGCAGAAAAATGGTCAAATGTGTATCTGTGATACAATATTTTTCTTATTCATTTTATGTCATAAAGTGCAGGAATTGAAATAATATTACTAGACAAACATGTTTCCAAATGTTTGCCAGAATTGCAATGGAGTGAAATAATAGCTTTCAGACTAATCTCGAAAAAAGGAGCTCAGTTCTGCTGTATCTTATTCAAACCAGTGACCAAAGATAAATGTTCAAGATACACATATGTGGAAAATCATATCACCTTTCTCAACAAGTAATTTTACTTTACAGTGAAAATCTTGAGATGATCCTGCCACTTAATATCTTATAAATTTACTTGAAACAATATAAAGGAATAAAAAAGCTTAATCTCAGAGTTAAATTCATCTTAATCACTTTTATCACAAATACACAAAGGAATCTAGACTATCTCAGATAATAGAAATAGAAAATATAATATTACATTGTGCAATGTGTTTTATCTAAAAGTTACTATTCTACTAGATTTATCTTCCCAATATCATCTTGAATAAAATAAAATAAAAATATTTTGGCAATATATTCCTGTTAAGTTCCTTTTCAGCAGATATTTACACCAATAGCTACTAATTATGTACCATCAAGTTGATGTCAACTCTTAGAGACACATAGATTTTCTCCATGATGATCTGTCCCTAACCTGGTCTTTCAGATCTTTCAGTGGTGCACCCAGTGCAACTGTAACTTTGTTTACCCACCTTGCTGCTAATTATCCTTTTTAGTCTCTTTCCCAGACTACAGCTTTCTCTAGAAAACTACTGTATGCCTTCACATCATGTGTCCAAAGGAGGACAATTTGAGCTAGCTCAGCTATACCTGGAGTAAGAAGAGTTGCTTTGCTTGATGATCCATGTTTATTTTCTTACTGTCCATGATTTTCTCAGGAGTCTTCTCCAACACCAAAATTGAAAAGCTTAAATATTTTTATATTGCTTCTTCAAAATCCAACGTTAGCTATAATCTTTTAATAGATAATTTTTGTCATATCTAAGTAATGCCACTTTATCGACTGTATGTAGTGCATGCTTCCAAGAAAATCTATTTACATGATAATTAAGAGCTGACACTGACTTGATGGCCCATAATCAACTGATGATTATATGCGTGGCTTTTTTTCAGGAACTCAAAGCAGTGTAACCCAGAGAGACAGAGTCTCCCTTCAAAGCAATGTAATGGGAAAAAGGGGGGGGGGTTCTCCTTTCATTTTATAGCCACAACCCTGAGGTAGATTGGGGAGTCTATCTTTCTCCATCTAAAAGTTATTTGGTGAGTTTCAGGGCCAACCGGGTGGTGGGTGGGGATATCTGAAACTTTGTCTCAGTTAAATAACTTAACACTGTTCTTAACAGAATGATCAATATAAGTAGGACTATTTCTTCTGATTTCAAAATTCTCTTTTTTATTTCATGTCATCTATTTTAAAAGATACTTTCAATCTATTAAACAAATAATTTATACCAATATCTTACCAGTGTGGTAGAATATTTAAAAAGTAGAAAAATATCAATTGGAGAATGACATGGTTCTGTAGAATGTTATTCTGTGTTAACATATTGTTCCAATTAAAGCTGTATTATAGATTGTTCATTCTTATGAATATACTTTATAAAATTATTTCTCAATACTTAGCACAAAAATATTTCCCATCAACTGCAACTAGCTTTTCTAAAACCCAACTGAGTGTTTGACCCATATTTAGTCGAGGCATTTTTATCATAAATCACAGAAATGGAAAATATTTTGATAAAATATTTAACATATTCAAATGCCATATGTTTTCTTACAGTAAAACAAGATTAAAACAAGATATTTAAACTGGAAAGCAATAGTTGCTGAAATGTTCCCATGTAAGAGTCATCAAGATTCATCACCAAAGGATGGTATAATTCTTCAGAAACATTTCAGTACTTTAAGGCATTGTGAATTTATTCAAATGTGATTTTATAAAAAAAAAAAATATGAAAAATGTTGTAACAAACATTTTTATTTCAAACTTAGGAAACAGCTGTATTTGCTGTTGATAGATACCAAAGGAGTTACAACCTAATTTCATTAAAACATAGGTTGCAATTAACCAATATTTTAAAAATAAAATTTGCACAAGAAATATTGTATGTGGCAATCCATACAGATTGCTATGCAGCATTCCATGAATACTTAAATTTCAGTATGGATTATATTTTTCTTTGTTACCACATAATTTAATCCATTTGTCCAGGTAATACTGGATTTCAGTCACTGGTTACAACCCATTTTCCACAAGGCTTTTTTCAACATTAAACTTTGTTTCATTTGCCATTTCCCCATGTTTTATCTTTCCAACTCATGTATACTTCTTTCAGAAGAAAGTCTTGATATTCATTTTAATAGATGAAGCTATGTATGAATGCCTTTTCCACCAAATATGTAAGAAAATTCTTGTACAAAAGCAATTTGATAATTAAGAAATCAACAAAAGAATACAAACAAAGTTAAATAAAGGGTGTGTTAAAAAATCTCAAAGTACCAAATCAAATTACCATTGCAATATCAATGTTTTGTTTCTTACAGAAGAATAATCAGTGATGTGCAGAAATGTCACAAAATACTATCATATTGAGACAAAAATGGTTTAGAAAGAAAATTGTTAAATAGCAAACACATTTACAAAATTATATATGCATTATTTCTACCACTTTCTCCCTCTTGCTGCAGTTCTTTACCATTTGAATATACCAATCTACAACACCAAGTTTTCAGAAAAGGTAGAAGAAACTTTGATTGGGAAGAGATACAGGAAAGCCCCAATGCATGCATGTCTGAAGATTCAGGGTTTTTTTTAATGTATCCTTCAGAAGTACATGAAATCCAACCACAGTTCAATCTACTATCAATAAACTGAACTGCACTTAATTTTGGTTAAAAAAAACTTTAATGTTTGGGAAAGGAGCACAAACTTCAAAATTTGTATTCTGGCAGTTGTTTTTAAAAATGATATGCTACTTTTCTGAGCACTTTAAAAAACTGGAGTGTTAAAAGGTTTATGCAAAGCTGGCAATCAACCTCAAATGTATATGTAGTTTTTCTCACATAAAGAGCAACAGGAAAATAAGCCTGTTTGAAAATGCTTAAACCTAACCAACAGTATTGATAATATATTAGTCTGATTGGGCACAAATTAGGAACATTTAAGACTTAATTTTGAAATGGTAGTCAAATCTGCTGTGGTATTAGATTGGAAACAAAACTTATAAAATGTTAGATATAATATTGGGAAGGAGTCAGTTTGAGTAGTTTGTATAAGTACTTTTAATGTTGAGTATTTAGATAAAGGGTTCCATTCAAAATTTTGGTTTTTGTAGTTGTCTGCATATTTCTTTACTTTTTCAGACATGCACTGCTCTTTGTATCCATTTAGATAATGTTACCTAATTCTAATTTTTGAGGGGATATATCTCAATGTAAGGTTGTAGGAAATAACAAAAGGACCATGGATGTAACTCACTTTATATCAAGGAATTATAGGTCATGATTCACCATTTGGACAAATATTTGGAATTGTCATTTCCATCTACCACTAGAATATATACCCATTCATTTCTGCTGAGAGAATATGGTCTTAAATGTTTTTTTATAAATGGCTAATCTATACATTTATATTATGATTACAATAGTCAGATGAAAGGATAGTTATCCCCAAAAAGAATGGAATTTACTGCAAAGAAAATTTACATAAGTGAAATTATAACTTTTCACTTCACAAAATATTGTGGTTCATTGGCTGCCCTGATCAAAAGAAATGATTGTGTGACATTGATGATACAGAAGCCCAAACCAATGGATGACTTCACCCAGTGGTTTTATGTAGAGTTTCAAAAAGATGGGAGTATATAGTAGATGTAAGTATTAACAGTGTCATAACCAGCAACTGGCATGCGTTGGTATGCCCATGGAACACATCTGCTTCATTAGCTGCAGTAACTATTGGTTTGGTTTTGAGTGCAATTCAAGGTGCTGGCTGTCACCTTTGGCTATATAAGGCATAGGGCCTGATTACATGAGGGATCACCTGTCTCTCATAACAACTGCCCAGCCAATTTGATCCTGCACGTTGGCATGCTTTGGGTTCCTTTAATTAAATAATCTCATATCTCAGAATCCCTGAAGTGTACTTTCTCTGTAGTCAGATTTACTCTCTAGAATGAGAGTAAATTTACTCTCACACTCCACCCTCAGACCTATACACCCCACTCTGGTTGTTGTTTGGAACTGTGAAGATCTGGGTCTTCACCCAGATCTTTGGCAAGGGAGAGCTTTCACTTCATCATGTTTGCCATCCTTTATCTTTATTTTTTATTTATTTTATTGTTGTGAGCCACCCAGAGTCATTGATAGTCAGGTGGCATACAGGTTTAAGCGATTATTATTACAAAGGTTGAAACTATTTGTGCTAGGATAGTCCTTACCATTATAATTAACAAAATTTGCCCATCCGGCAGTATATATTTCACTGCTGATATTTTCAAATAGTGTTTATTGAATTATACTTGTTAAAATTAGTTTAGTATTGATTAGTGTCAAACATCATCGACTAGTGCTATAACAATGGCATTTGTTAAATTATGGAACTATAAAAGCTAAATAAATTTCTAGTTAATTATTAGCACCAATACTAAACATTCAATGATTCATATGGCCATTTATTATTTTTAAAATGATTGATGAGACCAAAACAATATAGTTATATTACTCTTATAATACGAATTTTTAGAACTTCTTGACACATTACATTATGTGGTATAATGAGATGCATGAGCATATTATACCACTTTACATAATTTAATATGTGAATGTGCAGAAGCAAAGTACACGTAGTAAGCTTTCAAACAACTCATGATCTTACTACCTGCAGATTATATACACTAAATATTTATTTTAAATATATGGGTGCTCAGAGACACATGCTGTAACATCTGAGAAACTTACATTCCTGAACTTTCACACAAGTGATGCAGTACTAATATGAAAACACCTCCTGTAGGACAATTCTTCTGTATTCCATGCACTTACAACAAACTCTATTCAGAATGTTTCCTGTACTGTAATATACAGTATTTCATTTGTCCTGTGGAATTAGTTTGCTTTTCAAAAGAAAAGTCATCCAAGTTTCTGACTCCTTATATGGCTCAATTAAAAGTTCACCTTTAAGCAGTCACCATTAATATTATCTTTTTATCTTAACACCACTAAGATTAGTCAATCAATGACTGAATACATCATGCTCCCAGGGTAGGATGGAACTCATGAAAACAAAAGTTACTTAAACAAAATTCAAAGTAACCCTCTCCTTATTCTGACTATAAATTTGGGTAACAGTATTATGAAATCAAGTTTTTTTGATATTACACACTACATTGCTTGTGACCATAGAAGAGGTATTAAAGGAATAAAAATTTATTATGTAATTTCTTCCAATATTCTTCTGCTCTGTTGGGGAACACAGGCTTCTTTGAATGGTTGCTTTCTAAAATCATGCTACTGTCAAGTATTGATGGTAGAACAGCCCAAAAAGGCTTGTGGAAAAAAGACAAGCAGCAATCCACCAAGTGAGAAATGAAAGGAGTCCTCTGAACAACAGTGGAGTGAAAATGTTCTTCAGGCTAGCCAGAGCCATTGTTAGCTGTATTACGGTTACCTTCATCTTTCTATCATCAGATGACAATTCAGAGTTTACTGAACTGCTCTGTGGACTGTCCTCTGGGGGTAAATCTGAGGTTAATTCTGGATAAATGCCCCACGAATAGTTACCTACAAAAAATAATTAAAGCAAGAACATTGCTAAGTTTTTAAATCATTTTTAATCACATGCTTCTAAGAACAAAATTGCATGCTTATTAGGAAAGGCAAACAACATTTTGAATAGAATAAAGACAGAGACAACCATTTGAAACCTGAGACACACGGTTCAACTTTTCTCGATATTAAATCATGCTTCATTTTTCAAAAGATGAAATATTAATTTGGAAATATACTGCTCAAAAAAATAAAGGGAACACAAGCAGAAGACATCCGAGATCTGAATGAATGAAATAGCCTTATTAAATACTTTGTTCTTTACATACAGTAATTTATACACTGCTCAAACAACTAAAGGGAACAAAACTACTGTATGTAACGAACAAAGTATTTAATAAGGTTATTTCATTCATTCAGTTCTCGGATGTCTTCTGCTTGTGTTCCCTTTATTTTTTTGAGCAGTGTATTTGAAAAGAAAAAGAGTTAAAGGAATTTCCAGAAAAGATAGGCATTTCTCAACAAATTAAGCTTTTACAACACTTGTCTATGTTAATAGCAAGGGAAATTGAAATAAAAAATGAATTATCTGAAAAAAATGAGTTTGCAAATACTGTAAACCAGGGAAGTGGCTAGCATATAAATTACAAGAAGAAAAAAAATGATACTGAAATTACAAGAGAGATACTGTATTTATGACAATGTGGCATGCAAAAAGCATTTCATCAATATTCCAATTTGTATAAAGAAGTGACATCTCTAGAAAAAAATTGATGAATATCTAATGAAACAAAATTTACCAAGGATTACAAAGGAATAGAGATTCTGATCACATCTATAAGAATAAGGGAAGTATCTAAAGCTATAAAAAAGATTAAAGTAGGAAAGGTTCTTGTACCAGATGAATTATCTGTTTTGATAAAATATCTTTACAACTTTCACAAAATGTGATGAATTCTATCCTAGAGGGAGGAAAGATTGCAGACAATTGGAAAGAGGCCAATATAGCATTAATAGCTAAAGAAGGACAGCATTTGACTTTAAGACTTTTGCATGCACAAATATGTAAAGATTCGGTGTTACCCACAATGGAAAAAAGGCTTGATGAAGATCACAGAATTTGCTGATATCACTAAATTTATTTCTTTAATCAGAGAGAAGATAATATCTGTGTTTATTATTGATTGGAGCCCCTTTATGGACTTTTTGCATAAAACAGAAAACATGAACTTATGGTTTATGGTTTTAATGATTAGACAGGACAGATTATAGAAAAAAAGATAGTTATACGGTAACCAAAGAGTAACAGGTAAATTTATGATTGCGCTTATAGTTACTGTAAAGAAGATTGAAAGCTACTTCTACCTATACCATCTTTTTTATGTATTTTCTTTTCTTGCACTTTTATTTATATTTATCTTTTTTATATTAGTTTGTCTTAGTTTTTATCTCCTATCTAAGAACCTTTAATAACAACTATATATATATGAAATATGCCCTAAAGCCAGCAGCATTTCTGTTTCCGGATGCACAGGGATACTCATGGCACATGTTGGTTCATAAATTAAAAGATGACTGGTGGGATGGAAACAGAGAAATGAATAACCAAGAAATTAATTTTTTGCATCTACCTTTGTCCTACTTTCAAAATGAACCCTCTGAAAATGATTTTCTTACCTAATATAATTTTTCCAGTAACTGCCCATAAGCATTTTATTTCATTTATTGAATATTTCTTACCTAAAGTTTTTAATAGAAGAGTCATGTGCAGCAACATAACCAGAGGTGCCACATATTGAAGAGCAATTATACAAAGATAGTAAAACACTCTGGCCACCTGAAGTCAACAAAAATATTGCACAATTAGGGGTGCAAGACAATACTATCTGGTAAGTTATCATAGCCAACAACACACACATTAAACATTTTTATGGAATGTGTTGACAATCAACCACCCAAGATCCTGATACTTATCTGCTGGAAAGGGAGCAAAGGGAGCAAAGCTTACATTTTTCACTTCCTGCCCTGTCAGCCCACAGTGCATCAATAATTATTCTCTCAAGAACTAAAGAACTAAATTGTGTACTCAAACAGTAGTTAACAGAATGAATAAGCAGAAGGCAATGCCTAGTCCAAGCAGTCTCCCAATTTCTTTTCAATCCCCTCTCCATTAAGCATGCATTTCTAATCCTGAAAAAACTAGAAAGTTTTTTCTGATTCCTCTTTTGACTGAATCCAATCCCACATAGTTTTTGTAGCAATGCTGTTATAAAAATGATCTTGTTTTGTAATCTGAAAAGTGAGTGATTTGCATTAAGAATATATTTGCTGCTAAATATATTTGAAAAGCGAACTGTTTTGACACTTTCTCCTGTTATTTAGTTACTTAGTTATTAAAGTCCAGCCCAATCTGATCAACTCTGGGCAGTTTACAACAGTAAAAACAATAACAAAACAGATCATATAATTCAAAAGAAAGTCTATACAACAATTAATTAAATAACTGAAACTTCCCATAAAATATCTGGGGATAAAGCCAGATTTGAAGGGTGCACTTCAGATGGTTTGAAGAGGGCAGATGCCATGACATGGGCTCGCTTCCTGCTACGCTGTTTAATGAAACCCAAGCATCTGTCTGACCATATAGGAGTGACAGAAACTATAGAACAGTGATGGCTAACATTTTTGCCGTTGCATGCCAAAAGCGGGGGTCGCACGGGAGGGTCGCACTTGCGTATGCCAACACCCATAATTCAATGCGCCCTTCCCCCCGCACATGTGCACGCAACTCATGCTACCCCCGCTTTTGGCACATGATGGCACAGTGGGCCCATTTTTTCACTCTCCCCAGGTTCCAGAGGCTTTCTAGGAGCCTGGGGAGGGTGAAAACGGCTTTCCCCATCCCCCCTGAGGCAGGAAACAGCACGTTTGCCAGACAGGAAGTCGGCAAACAGGCCGTTTCTGGCCTCCGGAGGGTCTCTGGGGGAGTGGGGAAGGCCATTTTCACTCTCCCCAGGCTCTAAAGCCTTTCTAGGAGCAAAGAATGAAAAACGGACCTTCAGGTCCCACCGGAAGTCGGCAAATGGGCCATTTCCAGTTTCCAGAGGGCCTCCGGGGTGGGGTGGGGTGGGAAGGCCGTTTTCATCCTCCCCAGGCTCCTAGAAAGGCTCTAGAGCTCGGAAAGAGCAAAAAACGGGCCTTCCCATGTACCCGGAGGCCCTCCGGAAGCCGGAGATGGCCTGTTTCCCGACTTCTGGTGGGCCTGAAAATCAGCTGGCCGTCCCCCGCATGCACGCTGGAGCTGAGCGAGGGCAACGGTCGCGTGCCCACCGATATGGCTCCACGTGCCACCTGTGGCATGCGTGCCATAGGTTTGCCATCACGGCTATAGGAGATAAGTAATCCCACAAGTCAAAGGAAAGAAATTAAGAGTTAAGGAGGTACACTCAATATTTAAAAAATCCTTCCAACTTCTCCCAAAATATTTACTTTGACTCTAGAAGGGATAATATTTCAGAATGCTCTTATATTTGCTGTTTATTTAAAATGTAATTTCACGTGTCATTCATATCTAATCTCTTTTTCTAAATTGAAAAAAACAAAGGAAGCTACACACAATTCTATTTATATAAAAATATATAAAAATACCGTGTTTCCCCGAAAATAAGACCCTGTCTTATATTTTTTTGAACTCTGAAATAAGCGCTTGGCCTTATTGCCATGCGCTCAAAAGCCCGATTGGGCTTATTATCAGGGGATGCCTTATTTTGGAGAAAACAGGGTAGTTGCATACAATTTTATGAAATAGAGTATATTAAAAATATAACTATTTTCAAGAAAACAATAGTAGTATTACTCAAAGTTAATGAAAATTGAAATTGTTAGTTTTACTGCTGGACTAACTTACACTTAAAAGTAACTAAAATAATATTGTTGTGGTTTCTAGAAAAACACATCAAATTCTGCCTCAGTCTAATCATGCTCATTAATTAAAACTTAAATGGCTTGTTAATATATATATTTGATTATTGTCATTTTAGGCTTACCATTTTCTGCAATTCAACAGTACTTATTCTTCCAACTTCTTTTTTCATTTGATCCACACATTTCTGTGCTAAATTCAGATAGGCTTGGAGATGGCTGCGCATCATGGCTAACCTCAAAGCACATAGGAGAATTATAATCCACAATCTTAGAGTATCGAATGTAGCTTCTGACATTCTGTAGATTAAAGAATGAACACAGACATTTTCTAAATATCACTCCACACATTGCCCCAACCCCCTACAAGCACACATGCAAACACTGTTGCAGTAATAAGAAGATGGGAATGGCAGATGGGAACGTGTTCCTATGAGAAAGAATAAATGAGAGAAGAGAAATGTGGATGTATGAAAAGAAATCAAAGAAAGGAGAACTGCTTGTGCCTCTATGAGGGATTGAATGGATAGAGAGAAAAATAGAAAAGAGGTGGCCTTTGCTTTCCCCTCAGAAAGACTGAAAATAGTTGTCCTAAAAACTAAGGTTATTCTATTCTAAATCTTATTTTAAGAAATAAGAAAATATCTACAAAAATATTACATTTTAAACATATACTTATTATAAGGTTTAAAAATAAAGATTTCTAAAGCTTACAAAGGCACATTTTCTTTTCCTAATGGTGGGTTCATAATATAATCCTTGGTAATTGGCTTTACCCATAATAACACCATAAGCAGAGGTGCCAGGAAGTTTATATGTAGCAGAGTTCTGGAAGAGACAGAAAGCAAAATAAACACATTGTATTATTACAGAAAAAGGGTATTTCTAAACTATTCTATATTGAAAGCAATAAATACTAGTCTTGATTTCTGCTACATTCTATATTGATATATTTATGGTTCTAAAGAGCTTGAGAAAACCTTGGAATTCCTTGCAAGCTTATCAAGTAGTCTTGCTTAAAGTGAATAATACAAATTAACCCCCCAAACCTAATTTGTTTGCCATTACCAAATATTCCCTAATACATACAACTGCAGGAAAGTTTGGAAGCTTGTCCCTTTGAACAAGGGAATGGTGTGAATGATTACATATATAGTCCTCAATTTATGACATCAGAGTTCAAAATTCAAATGAATTTAAGATGCTGGTAATGACATTTAAAACCTACACATCAGATTATTTGAGGGACTAATTTAGGTTATATCTAGCCATCCTAACAGGTTTGGCGGGAATGGTACATTAAGGGTCCCATACTTTAAGGAGTATCATCTGGATAAGGCAGGAGAACAGCAGTTTCTGCCATGGCACCCATCCTTTGGAACATCATTCTTCCCCAAGATGAGATTAATCAAAGATAACACACTAATGGATAATAGAAGAGGAGAGAAAATGGGACTGTATTCAGATAACTAAAATGTAGAAAGGTGAACAGATGAATATCTGGATGGAACTCATCAGTTTAGTCCTCAACATTTTAGGTATCCGAACATAGTCCTATTTTATTCCATACTCTTAATCCATTAGTGTGCTTCCTTTGAAAATACTTTATGAATTTGTAACTGCATTTTAATAAGATTTTAAATTCACTGAATTTTAGAAAACACATTTTGAAATTTGGCATAAAAAACCAGAACCATGTTATAAGAGTAATACTACTGAGAGTGGAGGATACACATTAAGCTGAAATCTATACCCTTTTAACTTACTGGGTGATTTTTTCAGTTGTTAAACTCAAAGCATCAAGATGCATCTGAGCCAGCCTCAAACCAGGGAACGTCAAAAAAGCTCCAATAAGTGAACAGAGGATAGCCAGGAAAAGTTTGAAGGTTAGCTTAGAAACAGGACCCCTAAAAGAGAAAGAGTAACAGCTTTTTTAACATTTTAAAATAGTGTTTTTTCTACTAACAATACAGGTGATTGAAAGAGAAGCAAAACAAACAAAAAACTCCACCCAAGGAACATTCTAACTTTTAAGAAGTCTATGGTTATAATTGAAAATTGGAAATATTACCCCGACTTATGATTACAATGTAGCAAAAGGCCATATTTGCACACAGTCTTTAAACACTGACTCCCATCTAACAAGCTATGTGTCTGTCTTCTGCCTCCTAAATTTCACCTGAATCTAACAGAATTTTCTTCTTGGCCACAAATTGATCCTGCAATCATTAAGAGGCTTCTATTTATGCTCAAGTTGTTAGTGTTCAGCTTTAAAGTCTTTCATGGAATGGGACTAAGTTATCTGAAGGACTACCTTTGCCTCATTTTACCTGCCCACCTCACCAGATCCAGTAGGGAAGGTATGTTATAGGTTCAATTTCCTACATTTAGTGATCCCTAGACAGGAATTTTTTCTGCAGTGGCACCTGCTTTGGGGAATATTCTCCCCTCTAAGGTGAAGTTGGCCACATCTCTTCTGAGCCTCTAAAAGTCCCTTAAGATTTAGTTGTGGTAAGAGGCTTGGGGACCACAGGGAACTGATGACTTAGTGAGGTAGTAACATCTTTTCGTCTATTTTTTATTTTAGCTCAGTTTTTCTATTTTAATTGTTAATATTGTGATGATTAAGTATTTCGTTTTAACTTGTAAGCCACCCAGTTGCTTGTTCTGCAATATATATTAGATAATAGACAGATGATAGATAAATAGATAGAGAGATAGAGAGACAGACAGACAGACACTCAAATAAAACTATTTTAGATCTTACACTGAAAAGAGACAGAGCTGGGGGCTCCCCATCAGATTTTTCCTCATTATGTATCTTACGTATCCTCTGATGAAAATAATCAAGAGATATTTTACTGACAAATTCAATAGCAATAGCACTTATATACCGCTTCATAGTGCTTTTACAGCCCTCTCTAAGCAGTTTACAAAGTCAGCATATTGCCCCCAACAATCTGGTTCCTCATTTTACCCACCTCGGAAAGATGGAAGGCTGAGTCAACCTTGAGCCAGTGAGATTTGATCTGCTGAACTGCAGCTAGCAGTCAGCTGAAGTAGCCTACAGTACAATTCAAATACAAAAGTCCCTCTTATTGTGTGCTGTGCCAGGATAAGTAAGCATGGATACAGATGTATTGACTATTGCTATGAAGAGCCTTGGTAGTACAGGGGTTTAAGGCACACTGTTATTAAGCTGGTTATTAAGACCAGCTGCCTGCAATTATTGCAGGGTTCGAATCTCGCCAAGGCTCAAGGTTGACTCAGCCTTCCATCCTTTCTTAGGTAGGTGAAATGAGGACCCAGTTTGTGGGGGCAATAAGCTGACTTTGTATAAATATACAAAAGGATGAAGGCTATTGCTGAGCACATTGTAAGCCGCCCTGAGTCTTCGGAGAAGGGTGGCATATAAATCAAATTAAAAAAAAAAAAACTAAAAAAGTTGTGGAATACTGGTGCTTATTTAACACAAGAACATATTAATGTGCCAAAGAACAAGAACCAGGAGCCTTAAAAGATTGGATCAGAAACCGAATCATAACTGAGCATTCTTAGTGGGCACAAAATAATGGCAGAATTTGAGAGAGAATAAAATAAAATGGGCCACATACAGTAATAGAGAAGAATTGGGGGGGGGGAGGCAGGAGTAATTTACAGATCTAAACTCTCTAAACTCTAAACTATTTTGCACCGTGATATTTAGCTGAACATCCAATTAATAATAATTTTATTATTTATGCTATTTCTAATTTGTCCAATAATTGAAATTGTTTGCATTATTATTATTATTATTATTATTATTATTATTATTATTATTATTATTTATTAGATTTCTATACCGCCCTACTCCCGAAGGACTCAGGGCGGTGCATAGCCAAACAATAAAAACACATACAATACAAAATTTAAAAAATAGAATAAAATCAAATTAAATAATTTTGGCCCCGACAAATTTAAAACCCCAAACTTTTAAAACCAATTTAAAATTGAATATATAAATACTAAAAGATATTTAAAATTTTAAAAATCTTTTATAAAAGAGGGGGAAAATTAGGCCAGGCCGGCCTGGTGAAATAGTAAGGTCTTTAAGGCGCGGCGGAAGCTGCGCAGATCCGGGATCCTCCGTATCTCTCGGGGGAGCTCGTTCCAGATAGTAGGTGCCCCCACAGAGAAGGCTCTCCCCCTGGGGGCCGCCAGTCGGCATTGTTTGGCTGACGGCACCCGGAGGAGCCCCTCTCTATGGGAGCGTACCGGCCGGTGGGAGGCTATTGCTGGTAGTAGGCGGTCCCGCAAGTACCCGGGTCCTAAGCCATGGAGCGCTTTAAAGGTGGTAACCAAGACCTTGAAGCGCACCCAGAAGACCACCGGGAGCCAGTGCAGCTCGCGCAGGAGAGGTGTTACATGGGAACGCCATGTCGCTCCCATTACCACCCGCGCGGCCGCACTCTGCGCCAGTTGGAGCCTCCGGGTGCTCCTCAAGGGGAGCCCCATGTAGAGAGCGTTGCAATAGTCCAGGCGGGAGGTGACAAGGGCATGAGTGACCGTGCGTAAAGAGTCCCGATCCAGAAAGGGACGCAACTGGCGAATCAGGCGAACCTGATGAAAAATCCTCCCGGTCACGGCCGTCAAGTGCTCTTCTAAAGACAGCCGTGAATCCAGGAGGACGCCCAAGTTGCGAGCCCTCTCCGTGGGGGCCAATGATTCGCCCCCAATAGTCAGTGATGGTGTCAACTGACTATATCGGGACGTCGGAAACCACAGCCACTCAGTCTTGGATGGGTTGAGCCTGAGCCTGTTCCTCCCCATCCAGATCCGTACGGCCTCCAGGCACCGGGACATCACTTCAAGGGCATCGTTGGGGTGATCCGGGGTGGAGATGTACAGCTGGGTGTCGTCAGCGTACTGATGGTACTCCACCCCGAAACCACGGATGATCTCGCCCAGCGGCTTCACATAAATGTTGAACAGGAGAGGCGAGAGGACCGACCCTTGCGGCACCCCACATATGAGGGGCCTCGGGGCCGACCTCTGTCCCCCTGTCAACACAGACTGCGACCGGTCAGAGAGAAAGGAGGAGAACCACGGCAACACAGTGCCTCCCACCCCCAACTCTTCCAACCGGTGCAGCATGATACCATGGTCGATGGTATCAAAAGCCGCTGAGAGATCTAACAGGACCAGGACAGAGGAGCACCCCCTGTCCCGAGCCCTCCAGAGATCATCAACCAACGCGACCAATGCCGTTTCCGTGCTGTACCCGGGCCTGAAGCCCGACTGGAACAGATCCAGATACGTCGTTTCATCCAGGTGCTGGGGGAGCTGTTGCGCGACCACACTCTCAACAACCTTCGCAACAAAGCGAAGATTGGAGACCGGACGATAATTTACCAACATTGCCGGGTCCAGGGAAGGCTTCTTGAGGAGAGGCCTCACCACCGCCTCTTTCAAGGCGGCGGGAAAGTCACCCTCACTCAGCGAACGACATTATACATGTCGTTACAAAATGCACAATTATTTTTATATAAAAATACATTTATGTCTCCATATAAGCATACAATGACAGGATTCCTGCATTTAAGACAGAAGCAACCAAAAATTATTGTCCTGAACAGAATGTACGTTTTTGACATACTTTCAGACATTGCAAGTGTGATTCTGAATTAAAGGATTCATAATTCTGAAAAAATGTTACAAGGAGAAGTTTTTGATGATAATATATTTTCATCTTTAATATTGTGTTTTATACTTACTGGGATTCCAACCCTTGTTTTTCAAAAAATTGCACTGCACTTTCTGAAAAATTGGAAAAACCTGTAGATAGAATTTGACAGAATATTAAGTTGCTCATATGGAAAAAATAGAATAGTTTTAAATAGTTAAGCAAAAATATCAATTCAGTTATGCATAATCTAGAACATCATTTGCTATTTGTAAAATCAAAATGCTATTTGAAAGTGCAATACATTATTAGAAAATAACACATTACAAAATAATGAAAAAAGTCTAACTGAATTTAATAGTTGTGAACTCTTAACCTAAGAATATTTATAATTTGCAGAAAAATATTTCATGCCTATAATAGTAATAGAAAATAATTATGGAATAGAAGATTTGAAAACAGAAAAAATATTGGTATTTTTAAAAACGATATTATCTATAAAATATTTACTGTTAAAATTGCTAAGTATTTGTCTATATTAATATCAAAATATTACCTGATTCAAGTCCAAACTCCAAATAGTTTTCTGTTACAATCAGAATTACCATAGCTTTGACAAAGAAAAAGAAGCCAAAGGTTACACAGACTGATCTTTCTCCTCCCTCTTCAACTTTAAAGTAGTGTGTAGTTAATGAGAACAATATTTTGCTATATATAAGCGTCAAGGAATTTTTTTTTCATACAATTCTAAATAAAAATCTTTGAAACCAAGTGCTAACATTAGAGAGGTAGGCCTATAGGGAAAATTATAGACATTGGCATTTTGGCCCTATTTTTTTTGGAGGGGAGAAGCAGAGCAGTAGTTTTTAAGCTATAAGGCAAGTGTGTTCAGACTCATAAAAGGTTAATGCCAATTCCTCATATTTTTGCAAAACTTATCAAATCAGATTGCTAAATTTTACCCAAATAATCTTAAATATTCTGGACTGTATACAAATGTGTTTTAATAAATCATTGCAACATTTAAAAAAACAATAAACTGTTTTGGCATGTATACTAAATAGTATATTTAAGTATACATGTATACTTAAAAGAAAACCCCACTAAAATCAAATCCATTTTATATCCAAAGAAGACTAGAACTTGTTTTTTGTTTGGCAAAATTTTAAAAATTGGATGCTGTAGAGAAAAAAAGACTGCATTCTTGGGGAATAGCATTGGGGAGAAGGAATATCATCATGTGCAGGTCTTCAGAAACCAGCTATTATGTGGAACATGAATTCTTCTGGGGGAAAAAACCCCTAATTTATTCAAAATGTACCATAAAATGAGCTTCTGTTAAAGCAACAGCAGATTGAAAGTGAGTTTGCTTTTAGCCGAGCCGACAACAAACATGGGAGAAAGTAAAGCCACAAACTCCTCTTTGGATAAAAGAAAGGACTTGAGATCACTGAGAGTGTTCCTTAAAGATGTTCCCTGTGATGAAAACTGTAAAATATTGGTCTCTGGTGGGTTTTAGAGCTCTGGGAGTTGGAAGAGGCAGCTTTGCCTGAGCCAGTTTGTAGCCTTCAAGAGGTGTTGGGTTTGTCCCCTTCCTCTTTTGATCATCTTTAGAAGAAATGGCTTGCAAATTGCTTTTTTTATATTAAGATCTTTCAGAATAACAAGTTTCATTATACTGGGTGATTTCCCTTCAATCTGTAGCGAAAAAAAGCTTTAAGTAAGTGTAAAACCTAAAGAAAAAAATTATTTGGAAATAAGCAGCAAAAAGATGATTAAAATGTTGATTTTAGTTTTTAATAGTCTAGAGGCCAGACTGACTGAAAATAAAAATTTGAAATACATCCTGTAGTTTGCTAAAATCTTATTAAAATATATGCAGATATTAAGTTTAACTATAAGAAATTTTTGCCTTGGAAAAATATGCTGGTTGAGAGAAAAACATGATAAAAGAAGACCTTTTAGGCTGGTTAACCTAGGCAGATTCACTAATACAGAATGGAGAAAAAGTATTTTAACTCTGGAAGAAGTCAAGGATATTTGATAACAATGCACCCAGAAACTTCCCTTTAGACTATCTAATACAATAAAAATGGGGCTTAAAAGAAAGAGACAGAAGAGGATATAACTGAAAATCAGAATAAATGTCTATGGAGATTCTCAATCATCCAGATCATGGTTGTCCCAAACTGAAGAAGCTTCTTGGATGAGAAGTGAAACATTTTCAAAGAAACAAAGAAAGTCCAGTTGCCTTTTGAAAAGCACCTTTGGGACATGAAAATTAGACTGTTTTGGATATGGATTTAAAATTGATAGGATACAAGAAATATACTGGTAGACATTTTACAGAAAAAGGTGGATGTTTTAATAGTTAAAAGGGACAATAAATAATAAACCAGAAGTGTTACTTGGATACGTAGATTTTAACTCAGAAAAGTGACTTGGACAATTTTCTTATTTTGGATTTACAACAGAGATGTATTAAGAAGGAATTCCTGTGAAAGGAGAGAAAGGAGAGATCGATTTTGGGGATATGGCCTAAAAGGAATAAACATTAAGACCTTTAAAAGTAGGCCTTAATGTTTATTAAAAGTAATGTTAATTTTAAAAGTAAAATTAAGTTTTACAAAGTTGGCTTATTCAACCAAGATTAAGATATATATGATTCTTTTCTTTTCTAGCAGTTTTAATGTTTTTTTTCTGGACTAGAACTGAATGATAATTTAACAATTTGTTTTTAGATAACATAGGAATAAGACAAATTTTGTTGCATTTTTTAGAGAAAATGATAAGCTATGCTATTAAAATTGAGATGAGATGAAGAGAAGAATTAATTTGTGGGATTAAAGACTAAAATTTTAAATGTTACTTCTAATAGTGCTAATGGTTTTTTCCTTAATTTAGTTTGATGAGGTTTTAAAAGATTTGTTTACAGATAGGAAAAAAGAAGAGTTTTTTCCTTTATATTTTTATAAAAAATGACAAGGTACTATTTAAGTAAGGAAAAAAATATTACACTGTTTTGTTTAAACTTAATATTTAATTATTTTTTGTATTTCTTAATGGATTTTTAATAAATAAAAGATAAGAAATGAGATATGGATTAGAGATTTGTAGTTGAAATATTAAAAACATTACTGAAAATGTACCTGTCTTAATGAAGGGGGAATTTCTATATTTTTTGTTTTTCCATTTTATATATTTTCCCTCCCCCCTTTTTCTTTTTAATATTTCTCTTGTTTGCATTAGTTTTAACTTTGTATTTTTAAACATCAGTAAAAATTATTAAAAATGTACTATAAGATAATATAACTAACTTCCCTTTCATTTAAGAATTATAATTAGGCCCTTCAGATTTAATGGAAACTCAGCAAATTATAAGTTTTTGAATAATTGTGTATTTTCAAAATTAAGCAATACTGTTTTAAAGGAAAATTAAGCAGCTCTATTAGCTTATTAAGAATAGTTTCTTATTAGATTACATTAGAAATTAGATTATTAGAAACTGCAGTATTTAACAATATCAGAGGGCTGAATGTACAAATGAGACATAATAGTCTTTTTCTTACTTTTACTTTTATTAATCATAGTATGGTCCTTTTTAAAAGATTTTTAAAAGTTTTAAATTATAATATGAAGAAACCCTTGATCTTTTGAAACAAATAAGAAATTTTGAAATTACTGTTACATGGATATTATGAAATTATAGTTTTTAAAATATAAAGTAATTATTCAACAAGTTCCAACAAAAAACTGTATGACATCAAAACTGATAATATATTTTTATTGCCATACACTAAGATTGAATTCAGATTCATAAAAATACCTACATGCTTTGTGGATTGGGGTTTGTTCAGACTGGGAAGTGTTTCAGACTAGGGCATTTGTTTTATTTATAGTCAGAATTGAGTAAGCAATCAAAAGTAACACTGGTGATCCCTCCTGAATGTATCAGCTATAAAAACACACAGTAAAGTCAAATCTAACCCTATCTCTCTTCAATTTGCTGCATATTTTAAGACAACCATTGAATGATCTGCTGTCAGCCAGAGCTGACATAGAAGACAAGTTTCCATAAGGAACATATATCAACAAAGAAAGCAGTGTCTAAGAGGTAAATAGAAACAGGATATGGATTATAGAAATTGAGAACCAGCCGCCACAACTTTTGCAGAAGAAATGGGTCATGAACATTCAGAGGAAGAAAAAAAATGATACTAAGTGTAAAGACAGCAGTTCCCTAAAGAATAGAGGGAATGTAGTAGTTTCCTGAAAGAAGACAAATGATCACAGAAGTCTAAGATGATGGTTCTCAAATTGCGGCCATATGGCCCCTTGACTATTTAGATTATTTTAAAGAAGGCCACAGATGAAAAACATGTCAAGTGGGGCACACACACACACAAAGAATTTTATACTGCAAATATTCTCTTGCCAATGCTAGAAAACAAGATAGTCCATATCTAGTAATGGGACCTGGAGTGGGACACAGGAGAAAAAGAAGCATAGAAGGGGGATCATAGGCAAAAAAAAATGAGAAACATTGGTCTAAGACTTGCTATTATGAGGAGTGGAAACATACATGTCCCATGCAATATACTATCTACCAGAAGCTTTGATTAGCAACAGGTTTTTGAAGGATTTTGCATAGTTATTTTTTGAATATAACTTTTCTGATATATGTGGAATTAAAACTTGTATTGATATGGTCTGAAAGTTTTAGCAGCTTCAAATAGACCTGAATATTTAATAGTATTTAGTATTTAGATATTTAGAGAATAGAATAGAATAATAGAAATATATAAATATTTAGATATTTAGATAATAGAATAGTATTTAGATATTTCATAGATGCTTTATTTGAAGTTACATCAATGAATTTAATTTTACACAAAACTATTCAATACATTAGTATTAGCAATATACTGTATATGATCTGTAAAATAAGGAATTGAAATCTTAGAAAATCAGTAGGCTCAAGGCTTATGAAATATTGAATATACAGTATTTCTTACAATTTAGGGATAAAGTTCATTCATTCATGAAAAAGTATTTGGTTTTTACTTAATTCTCACAATGTCTTCAAAAGGAGACGCCAGATATATTTATATTGGCACTGTAAAAAACCTGAAGGGTCTTTGACTGTTATGATTTGGTCATATTCTTTTATGGTTCATTTTTAGTCTCAAGGTATTGGAGTTAACACAATTATGGGGAAGTTTAAATATTTAAGAAATCAGCAGCATCAACAATATTATAATACTAATAAAAGTAAATTCTTTGTCCTTTACTTATATATTTGTTTTTGATTTTTTTTTTTGTTGGGAGTTAGAGCAGAATTCCAAGTATGTATTTGTATTTGTATGTATTTGAATGTAAGCAAAAGGAGAAGCAAATAAAAAAAAACACCTCTCTCACACTGCATGTGAGAGAACATAAATGTATTTCAGTGTTATCTTAAGTCAACCGGGAGAGGGGCATGTTTTAACCCATACCCAAAGAAAATGAAAAGAAAAGTCTAAAATACCAATGTAATTAATAGATAGTAATCAGCCACTTCACTTTTGCTATTATACTGTAAAATTAGTATCTCTATCTGAAGTTGCCTATATAGCTCAGCATGAAACAAAAGTCATGATTATGAATAGTATATTATAAAAGAAGCATTTGTGAGCAGATAGGTATTGTACAATACAACCACAGTCCTTGACTTACAGTGATAATTGAGCCCAATATTTCTGTTGCTAAATGAGACATTTGAGTTTTGCCCCATTTTAGAACCTTTTTTGCCACAGATATTAAGTGAATCACTGCAATTATTAAGTCATTAAGACAGAATTTGGCTTCTCTGTTGACTTTATCAAAAGGTCACAAAAAGTTATCATGTGACCCCAGGACACTGCAATCATCATAAATATGAATCAGTTGCCAAGCATCTGAATTTTGATCATGTGACCATGGGGATGCCACAATGGTCATAAGTGTGAATAATAATCATGTCACTTTTTTCAGATGCTTGGCAATGGTCTCACTTATATATATAGATATGTATGTATGTATGTATGTATGTATGTATGTATGTATGTATGTATATATGTATGTATGTACACACACAAATTTTATATAAAAGTTGGTATCTTCCAAATACCATAGATTACAGTTCCAAAACAGCAGGCAAATTCAAAGAAAAAACTATGTTACAGAATTCAGGCTAGAGTAAAATAATAAAATATATTTACGTAATTACACTTTCCACAATTGTTTTAACAATAAGTGTATTAAAATCAAGCACAATCATTTCGAAGGAACTTCAAAAAAATTAGGTAATTTTGAACTAGATGGCTATAAAGTGTTTCAACTTATATCAAGGACAAATGTTACCATTATATTATTGTCTGAACTGCTTTAATTTAGTTCTGATGAACTAACCTCAATCTGTAGAAACTTTTTTCTCAGCCTTAACACAAATATTGTGGTATGAACTAAAATATGCCTGGTGATGATTAGTGCATGGTATTTTTCAAATACCATGGACACCAAATACCATGTCTATTCCTAGACAGCAGGAAAATTCAGGAAGATGTAACATAACATACTGTATTTGGAGAATATCAGATTGGGGAATATTTTATTAGAGAAAAAGCACCAAGTATTTCCTATGAACCATTTTTACAAAAAATTTCTGCCATAAACTTCACAAAATATTCATTTTTTTAGAGTTTAACAGAAGTTCCAGAATACTTTAAAAGGATACATTGCAAAAGCAAGAACAAGAAAACACCAGACTATGCTGATATTCATTTCTTGTGAAGGCTTCATCCAAGTATAGTAAGCTTCAGTTATCAAATACACCACTGTAGCTGCCACTGTGAAGTCCACCAACCACTGATACTCAGGAAAATAATGCAAGGCTAAAATTAAAAGTGGATGTTTAGTAGTTGAAATATATGCATACAAATACTTATAAACTGTCTTCAGGGCACAGACCTGGACATCTGAGAGACTATCAGTCTCCATCAAACAAAAATTGATAGGGTTGGCATGGATCCCATCAAATAAGTGATGCATTTGTATTGGACCAAGAAGGTATGCCTTTCCCTATGGAATAATGCTCCCCCACAAGTTCAGATCACCCGTCTGCGACAGCTTTTAGAAAGATCTTGAAAACATGGTTCTTTTCACAAACATGGGCCAGGATGTTAAATGAGCCCCTTTTAATGTTCTGAATGCATGATTCTTGCAGCACACGGGGTTTTTAATAATTTTTGTTATATATATTTTTAATGTAATACTTTCCAGTAGTACTGCTGCTTGACACTGACAAGACCCTAATCAGTTTCACATTAAAGGCTTGTTTGCCTAAGCAACTGGTGGCTCACAACCCAGAGCACACTAGGAAAACAGCCTGCACCAGCAAATTCTTTCTGATGTGTATTTCCATTGTGTGCCTTATACTTTTGCAATCCCTTTCTCTCCAATGAATGTAAATACAAACATTCTCTTCTTGCTAATTATCCCAGTATTGGGATGAAAATTAAAAAGGGCAAGAGAGTGGGGAAAAGGGGGCTATAAATTTGCCCTTTTATATGGCTTGCTTGTGAGCCAGGTTTCAGAAACCTTTTCTAGTATTTCACCCGTTTATTTGGGCTTCATCTTTCTGACATTTTAAAGTAAAGGAAATCTGAAGTAAAATCATAAGCACAGTTGGAGTCATGTGATTATCATTTAGTGACTGTTTTGCTTAATGAGTGCAATTGCTAAATGAAGTCTATTTGTACATTTTCCCAAAGCACTTTATATTAGAAAAGACAGGGAAGTATACTCAAAATAAATAGTCCTAGTTACTTGTCCTTTTCTCTACCACCAAAATCCTATGGTCTCATATATTCCCAGATGTTTCAAAAATATTACTAATGGAACAATCAGATAATTTTATCTCAAAAATATATCAAAACTTTTAGATATAGATTCAAGCATCACTTACATAAATGTGGAAAAAGGATGCTATCTTTAACCAAGTATTACATTAATATCACATTCCATGAAGTTAGTTTTGTATGCACTCAAAAACCTGTTTTTAACATTTACTAAAGCTCATTAGGCCAGTGCATAGCTTGAAGGTGGTAGTTTATTATAACAATTGATTATGTAATATCCTCCTCTAATATAAAAATAACTCAGATATACATCCCTCTAAACTACTGTTTCTTAACCTCAGGACCTTTAAAATGCATGGACTTCTGGCTGGGGAATTCTGAGAGATGAAGTCCATGCATCATAAAGTTGCTGAAGTTGAAATACACTGCTGTAAACTTCCAATTTCTTCTGCCTCTCTTCTGAGGTCTTTTCTGGGATTCGATAGTTAAAAGAAACTTTTGTACAATAATCTTCCCCAGTTAATGTACAAGCTGGATGACATTTTGTGGCAATTCAAAACTCCTTAATGAGAAAAATGTTACCACTTTCACATCTCTATGGGATAAACATTTTTGCTTCCAGAGTGCAAAGTTTTTCACCCGGACAAATCACAATGAAGATCCTTAATTCTCATTAACTAAATGAACCTATAAACACACTACCTACTTTGCATAACAGTAACTATTTACTTACATGCATCTATTACTGAATCAATATGATTCATTTTGACATGTTTCTATTCCTTCCAGAATCTGCAAGAATTGAGCAACTTTTATTGCACATTAATTAAATATTTGAAATTCAAAGGGAAAACTTGGCATATACATTTGAAATATTCCGTCTATGTAGAAAGTTCAAAGAAGCCAAGGACAGCTTATAATAAAAATTAAATACATGGAGATGAATTAAGCTTATTAATGGATTTTAAAATTATTTTATGATTGCTTAAAATACTAGTGTATGGATTCTCAAACTGTAGCATTTGTCCTTTTTTAAATATGGGAATAAAAAGATTTTCCAAAAACATCAAATGCTCAGGAACACAAAATTTTATCATGATTCAATTTATTATAATCCCTTACCCAATGCATCTATTTCAGTGATAGATTTTGTTTCCAGATGAAGATTAATGTCTTTAGGAATGGTTAATGGCTTGTTTTCTATGTGACCATTGTACTTCCTGTTGAGATAAACATATATTAAAAACTGTCAATATTGCATCAGCTCTTACTGAGGCTCTAAAATTGCTACTTAAAAAGTAGCATGAGACACAAACACCACCTTTCATAAAGAAAAATAATGGGATGAGGTGCAAGCCATTTCCAGTTCAGCTTCTGCTAACAATAGTAGTAGCTCTGAGACAAGGTTGATTATATAGCCCATTCAACCACTTAAGAAAATGAGATTCTACTCCTAATTTTTTTTATTTTCAGGATGAAGAGTTTGAACCTTTATCTTCTTCGCTGATATATTGTAATTGTGAGAGAAACAAACTGAGTTTAAATACAGCAATATCAGATGCATGTAATCGAACTCAAATCTTTCTCTAACAACCCCATGAAGCAACAAATAAGCAGTTTGAGAATGAACAAGGACCAGAGCATATGATCATCTAACTCATATCTATCCATCTAACTTAACAACATTTTCTTCTAAAAAGCTACCACAGGGACAAACATACATCACTGAGAGCTTGAGTTCCTGGACTCCTACACAATTATGCAGCAATCACAGAAAATAAGAAAAAGTTGAGTTTGGAATTAGGATATAATAATGAAAAAGAATATTCTTTGTTCCTTTTTCTTCTCACTCACCCTTGAAAAGAATCAATGCAGAAGAAAAGGAGGATGACAAACAATTCAATGAGTATTAAATAGCTTAAGCTACTTTCAATATTATGTTATTCAATGGACAGAAATGCTATCAAATTTATTTGCTTAAAAAATCCTGATCTGTGAATCTAAAGGCTGAAAACAGAGACACTGTTATTCAGCTTTATCTAATTGGGTATATGTGCACACCTGTGCAAATGAACTTGAGTTTATTTAACTGAGTTGAACTAATGAGCATCATAATATCATTCCATTTTTATGCTAGAATTTTTTCATAAGTAAATGTACAAAGCCACTCATAAAATTCTCGAAACGCTTTTGCTGAGTGGCAAGAAATGAAATTAGGCAAGAAAAAATTAATAATTTAAGTTATTATAAAATTCTAGGAACCAAGAACACAAAAGCTCCTAAAGATGCTCCTTAAAACTCACAAGCTTTATTATCAATGACTTTTCTATAACAAATTCTTCTGAAGAATAGCCGAAATCACCTTGCATACCAAGCATCCTCCAGATGTGCTCTTTTACCTTTGTTAATTTATTTTTAATACAATTATAACTGTTCCATAACACATGAAACAAGGTACTCAAGGATCTACTAAATCCTCAGGACCAATTGGCACCAAATTTTCCTTTAGAAAACCTAATTTCTAGTCTTTATAATTTAATGGAGAAATGAAGTTGATGCACAATTTATATAAACCTTTCAGATGGAATACACTGTTGTACAAGTAGAAAATTGGCATAGTATGTGAAAGCATAAGGTGTAAGAAATGGCTGCCTGAGGGTTAAATTATTTTTAGTGGCAGTCCTTCATATTTAGAATGCCTTGATCAGTGTAATATTTTGGTATTAGTATTTTTCAGGCCCATAAATAAATTCTTTTATATTTTAACTTTTATTCTGTGATGGAGCAGTTTAATTTATTTACCATTCATATGTTATAAACATTAAAATTGTGGTACACTTCTTTCTCAAGAGTAGCATTTAGGCTTGAAAGCCAACTTGAAAAAACTTCACAGAAGACAACACAGGCAAACCGTTAAACTACAACTGCCAAGAAAACAGCACAGTCCCATCTTTATAATGATGAAAACTCAAGTTTGACTTGGTGGCATTTACTATTATATAATAATTTTAAATAAAACATACATATAATTAATTTTAAAAGAGACTTTTCTCAGCCTTGCATATAGTAGTTTCACCAGCGGATGGACTTAGTAAACCATCCACTTACAGGTGGATGAATCTTACAGGTTATCTGAAGTGTTTATTTTAACTTTTAAGCTATAATTGGTGCGGGATCAATATCACACAAATATGTTAATATTCTAAAATTATCTATACAGAAGTCTCTCTACAGTAATTGTCATTAGAACAAGAGATCCTGACATTAGATCTTGCACCTTGGATGGTCACATAATACAGATTTTGGCTTGTCATCTGGATAACCCCCTTTTTTTTTAATTGATCAAAGAAGTTGTAATTTCTGACTCTATCCTAGTGTTATTCTTTTTATTGTAATACCTGCTAATTTTAAATGCTTCCAGATAAACTATGATGTATATATATTTAAATTAAACAAGGAAGTCAGCAAGGTAAGTCAGTTCTAATTGTACTCTGTGTCTTTTCTTATCCTTTTAAACCAGTAAAATGCATAATAGCGACAAGGGCAAATATATTAGAGGTGACCTATCTCCCTTTTCTCTGCTTTGTTTTTATTTATCCACAAAATATTTGAAAGTCTTTTGAGACCCTTTGATTTTTAATACAGTATCAATGTATTAAAAGCAGATTTGCACACCCATACGATTTCTTTCTATGCAAAATCATTTTTAATGTTTTATTTTTGTAATCATTAAGGAATATCAAATAACCAACCACAACTGTGTAAAGACTGGGAAATAATTACCAGCTACCCACATTGTTTTCATACCTATCTTTCTTGCTTTTTCCCTTTTGTTGTTTTCCTGCAAGAATACGTAATTCTTCTTCTGTGGGATGCAGGTACCACTGCAAACTAAAAAAACACCCCCCCCCCCCCCAAAATTAACAATTTGAATGACATTTTACTAAATATAATACCAGAAGCTCTTGTAATTCAAATAGTAAGGTTAAAATAGTTTTCATTATATCCATACTCCTGAACTTAAATGATCTCCAACGGATGGTAGAGGACAGGAAGGCCTGGAGGAAAGTTGTCCATAGGGTCGCGATGGGTCGGACATGACTTCGCAACTAACAACAACATATCCATACTTGCCTATGAAAGCTGCTAGTTTTGCAATATAGAACAACTGTATTCTTCATTTGTGATTATCTTACGTATAATGTTGATATGTGAAACAGAAATAGAAACAGAAGGAGAAAAAATACAAACACATAGATACACCAAACTCTTAGCAGGTCTTCTTTGTCTTATAGGTAGTTCTCATTTAACAACCATTCCAAATTGCAATGGTGCTGAATGGTAGTCACGGCTGTTCCTTGAAATTACAGTTGCAATTGCAACACTCCTGCAATCGCATGTTGAAAATTTGAACATTTGGTAGCCTGTCCACATTTATGAGCACATGCACTTACGCCCACTCATCTACCTCCTGCCATCCATGCTTTTTTGGTTGTGCTGCTCTTCACTGTCACCTATCCCTGCTGCCTCCAGCTGAGCTTTGCCATCTTCTTCCTCCCATTGTTGACAAACCACTCCCAGCTGAGGCAGTTGCTGCCGCTTCCATCAGCAGCAGAAGGAAGAGGACACCAAAGGGCAGCAAGAATAGGAAGTAACAGAGTTAAGGGCAGCCAAAAGAGCAGAAATACGGAGGAAATAGGTGGGAAGAGGAGTTGAAACAGAGGACAATGCAGCAGAACAAGAGAAGCACGGTCCTTGTCTAACACCTGCAACCAGGAACTGGTGATGTTTTGCCTAATGACCACTGCTTTGTGATGGAAATTCGGGTCCTAATTAAGGTTAAGCAAGGACTAACTATATACTTTTTTCCTATTACTTTGAACTTACTCTTTGAACTGCTTTTTAACCAAAGCCTCACACACTAAATATAAAATTATTAAAAAACAAAAGCAAAAAAGATATGTTTGTCAAGATGATTGGTAAGATTCAAATTTGACTTTTTAGTAAAAGATGCCACCAGATAATTATCTACAGACAATTCTGTAGATAAATTATGACAAACTCAATAGTCCATGACCAGCTGTTCAATATCCCACAGGAATCTCTAGAGGACCAATAAGGAGGATGCTGTTTTAACGCTTAGCAAGGCCAAAGCTATTCTACCATATCTACTTACTTTGTCCTTCCACCTGTCCTCTCTAGTGAGGTATTTGAGCAAATTTCTACACTGGCAAGCAGCTGCCAATTATGAGTGCTAGACTCCCTTTTATTTGTCATGCAGCCATCTGGCTTATACAGTCCTTCCACATGTCTCAGAATCATCCATCAATTAAGCTCTTGATGAAGACAGAGAAGATTTAGGTTGAGTAGACAAATCATCAGTTATTAGTAAATCCAACCAAAAGAACACCTGGCTGCATATATTGAGCAGGAACTGTTATAACTATATATGAATTGTGGGGTCCTTGATACTTAATTATTTAATCAGGAAATTGAGCTTATTTCTTATTTTATAATTTTTAGAGTAATCCCTTCTGAAATTTAAGTGCATTTATAAAAGCCAAATAGTATCCAACTAGAGAATTAATCTTCCGAAGATCACCCATTACTCTGGTTTCCTAGCAAGAATATCACAAAAGGTAGAATATTTTCAAATGGAAATTCACAAATAATTCTAAAGGATTTAGGGAGCCTGGGGATAGCCCAAATGTGCTTCTTTCTTAATTGTTTTTAGCACAGGGAGCTTAATGATTGTGAATGTTATTTTAAAGTTATTAAGTAATTTGTCACAAGCACCATGATTGTCACTAATGACTATTGCCTTTAAGTAAGCCTTCCTCTTTTCTTAAATTTCAAATCCGAGTTTCCTCTTACAGGATGCATATTTTAATTATTGAGACAATTATGCAGAAAATGTATGGTCATATTATTAAGCAAGGTAAGATAGAAGTGTCTGCTTTTGTAAATAGGGCATAGCACTTGTCAAGAAATAGATCATGGACAGCATATGTAATAGTATAATAGAGTATATACCATCTATTTCTCAAGAAGACCCTAAGCTGTAGCATAATACACATTTCTAGATAAGACTGGGAAAGATTTAATGTGATTATTTTTAGAACCAACATATCCAGACCCATTATAATTATAATCAGTTCCCAGACAAACTTGGTGCACAACGGAATAGGCCAGCAAAATATCCAATGGCATCTTACAGATGCAGCAAATTTACTACAGTATCAGCTTTCATGGACAAGAACCCACTTTATCAGATGTTTAGTTCTGGTTTCTTATCTTACCTTCCACTGCAAAGAAGCCACCGGGCAAGAGAGTAGTGAGGTATGATCTTCTGTATAATGCTAGTCATCACCATGGTAACCACCAGCTGCACACCTATCACCCCCTGTAGAAGAATAAACCAATGTATGTTAACATGAAAGGGGCGTTGTCTTACCTGAACGCCCTTTCTGAGAGCGGAGAGGCCAGTGGTTATGCGAGGGTAATACCACTGCGATCCAATCAGATCGAGTCTGTCAGTTGAAAAGTCCTCCTCCTTTTGCTGACTCCCAGCTTTCGGACGAGATGTGGACAGACGGAAGACGCTCTCACTGAACTGAAATGAAAGAAAGGAAGGATAACCCCCAGCGAAACGGCCCGGCGGAAAGGGTGGGGATAACCACTGGCCTCTCCGCTCTCAGAAAGGGCGTTCAGGTAAGACAACGCCCCTTCTAAGCGAGGGAGAGGCCAGTGGTTATGCGAGGGACATGCCAAAGTCCACCACTCATAGGGAGGGACCCGCCCGGGACGTGGAGCCATCCCCCGCACATACTTGTTGGAGAACTCGACGACCGAATGCCGCCTCCGCCGAAGCGAAGCTGTCGATTTTATAGTGGCGGATGAAAGGGGTCGGAGACGTCCAAGTGGCGGCCCGACAGACCTCTAGAAGAGGGGCCTGGGTAGCCCAGGCCGCCGAGGTAGCCGCACTCCTGGTAGAGTGGGCCGTCAGGCGGCGAGGAACTGGCAAGGCTTGAGCCCCATAAGCCGTCGTAATTGTAGCCCTTATCCAGCGACCCACCGTTTGTGAAGAAACCTTAAGCCCCAGGGTAGCCGGTTGGAAGGAAACGAAGAGCCCTTCCGACCGACGGAAAGAAGAAGTTCGTCGGAGGTAAATACGAAGGGCCCTACGGACATCCAGGGAATGCCAGGAACGTTCCCGAGGGTGGGAAGGGTTAGGGCAAAAATCGGGCAGGATTAGCTCCTGAGTCCGATGGAAGAGGGTGTTTACTTTAGGGAGAAATGTGGGGTCCAGGCGGAGTACCACCCGGTCGGAGTGGAATATACAGAGATCAGCCCGAGCTGATAGAGCGGCCAACTCTGAAATCCGCCTGGCGGAGGTGATGGCAACTAAAAAGGACACCTTGTACGAGAGGAAGCGTAAGGGCACTGTCCTAAGGGGCTCGAATGGACCTTGTGTGAGGGCTGAGAGGACCTTGGGCAGATCCCAGGACGGATATCGATGAACGGGAGGCGGGCGGAGGTTGGTAGCGCCCCGGAGAAATAAGCGGATAAGGGGACGGTCCGCCAATGAGTTCCGGGCGCCAAAGCATAAAATGGAAGAAAGGGCGGCCACCTGTCTCCTCAGAGTATTAGGGGCCAACCCAGCATCCAACCCCTCCTGAAGAAAAAGCAATACCTGTTTTGTAGACGCCAAACCTGGATCCTGGTTCCTCCTCGAGCACCAGAGTGCGAATGTCCGCCAAGTGGCTCCATAGATGCGCCTCGTTGCCGGCCGGCGTGCGGCTAGAATGGTACTGATGAGTTGGTCTGGCAAGTGCGATGCCCTCAGGAGGCGCCGCTCAACCTCCAGGCGGTCAAGTGAAGCCAGTGAACGTCCGGGTGTAGAAGAGGACCCTGACGGAGGATGACCTGCTCCGGAGGGAGACGCCACGGTGGACGGGTGGACAGCATCTGGAGGTCGGCGAACCACGGGCGGCGAGGCCAGTGGGGCGCGATCAGGATCAGTTCGGCTTCCTCCTCCAAGAGCTTCCTGAGTACTTTGGGAAGAAGAGGGAGGGGAGGGAAAGCGTAGAGGAGACCCGAGGGCCACCTGCAGTGCAGTGCGTCCGTCGCCTCTGCTCTTGGATCGTAAAACCTGGAGACAAATCGAATGGTCTGCCGATTGGCGTGAGTCGCAAACAGATCCACTGTCGGCTGACCGAAGCGATCTGCGATCCGCAGGAACAGGGCTGGGTCGAGCTGCCACTCGCCCTGATCGACGACGGACCGGCTGAGCCAGTCGGCTTGTGTGTTGGATTGTCCCGATATGTGAGATGCTCGAAGAGACCTCAGGTGAGTCTCCGCCCAGGCTCCCAATCTCCCGGCTTCCTCCATGAGGACGCGAGAGCGGGTCCCCCCTAGGCGGTTCACATGGGCCTTGGCGGCCACGTTGTCCGTCCGGATGACGACATGGCGATCCTGGACCTGGTTCTGAAAGACGCGGAGAGCCAGATGGATGGCTCGGAGCTCCAGCCAATTGATGTTGTGGCCCAGGTCCTCCTGGGTCCAGAGACCCTGGGCCATGGTGGAGTGGAGATGAGCCCCCCAGCCGCGGAGGCTGGCATCCGTAGTAACCACAAGGGGGTTGGGTTCCCGAAACTCCCTCCCCTTGAGAAGAGCAGGTGATAGCCACCACCTCAGGGCTAATCGGACTTTGGAGGGAAGGACGACCATCCGGCAGGAGGCCGATAGGCGGCACTTCTGATACGGGAGGAGAAACCACTGCAGGTCCCTGCAGTGGAGACGGGTCCAAGGGACGATTCCTATACAGGAAACCATCTTTCCCAGAAGTTGGGAGAGAGTCGCCAGAGAGACAGAGTGACTCCGGGTGACTGACCTGACCAGAGACCGCAAACTGGTCAGGCGCTCCTGGGAAAGGAAGACCCTGCACTCGACCGTATCGATGACAGCTCCCAGATGTTGTATGCGGGTCGAGGGTACCAGGTGGCTCTTGTCTAGGTTGATGGAGAAGCCGTGAGCCGACAGGACCTGAAGGGTGGAGTTCAGGTCCCGTTGCGCCGAGGCCTCCGAACTCGACTGGATCAGGAGATCGTCCAGGTAGCATTGGATCCTGACCGGAAGAGCCCGGAGGTGAGCCGCAAGGGCGGCCATCAGTTTTGTGAACACTCGGGGGGCCGAGGACAGGCCGAAAGGGAGTGCGCGATACTGGTAATGTTGGCCCGCATAACAAAACCTCAGAAACTTGGAATATGCCGGATGGACGGGAACGTGTAAGTAAGCCTCTGTCAGATCTATAGACGAGAGGAGGTCCCCAACCCGAATACCATCCAGGATGGATAGTAAGGACTGCATTTTGAACCGCCGGTAGAGGACCCAGCGGTTCAAAGTCTTGAGGTCCAGAATTGCCCTCCAGCCCCCGGACGATTTCTGGACGATGAACAGGCGTGAATAGTAGCCTTGTCCGAGCTGCTCCTGGGGTACCGGTTCGATGGCCTGAATTTCTAATAAATGATGGATGGCCGATACCACCAGAACCCGCTTCGACCGATCCCTCGAGAGAGGACATCGGAGAAATCTGTCTGGGGGGGTGGAGAGGAATTCCAGGGAGAGGCCCCACCTGACAGTCTCCCTGACCCAAGAGTCCGATGTTGTGGCCTCCCATTGGCTGGCAAAGAGCGCCAGGCGGCCTCCAATGGGAGAAGAAGACCTGCAGTCAGCGGGACCTACGGGAAGGGCGCCCCCGGCCCCCTCTGAAGGAGCGCCTATATTGGCCCCTCTGGAATTGGGGACCTTGACGATCTGGTGGACGTGAACGTGTTGGAAAAAATCTTTGGTATCTCGGGCCCGAGAAACCTGATTCAGTGTTACGAAAGGGACGATAGGGGGCAGTAGGACGGGGCTCCGACCGCCTGGAGACGTTGGGCAAGATACGTCTCTTGTCCCTGGTTTCGATTAGGAGGGGCTCGAGGGGAGCCCCAAAAAGGGAAGGGCCCGCGAAGGGGGATGAAGCGAGGCGCCATTTAGACTTGGCGTCGGCCTGCCATTGGCGGAGCCAAAGCAGGCGGCGAGAGGTTACTGAGGCCCCTATTGACTTGGCAGCGAAACGCGACGAGTTCAAAGTCGCGTCCGCGGAGAATTCTAGGGCCGCTAGGACTTTACTCAGGTCCTGATGGGACCGGGCGTCCGATAAGGGAAGGCGATCCTTCAATTGGCGGAGCCACAAGATGCAGGCTCTATTAAAGAAAGAGGACGCCATGGCAGCTTTTGCCGCCCAGGCAGAGGCCATGTGTGCCTTGACAAGAGAATTGTCAAGGCGTTTTTCCTCGGGACGAAGGGCCTCCTCAGGGGGGGCGGCCATGTTGGAATGGCTCGAGAGGGCTACCACGGGTGGGTCTACTGTTGGAATTTGCAGTAAGGAAGCAATGTCAGGCGCCAAGTTGTACAAGCGCCTGTCCAGAGAATTGGGGTTAGGCCCCGAGACTGGGTTGGACCATTGACGTTGAAGAACGTCTTTGAAAAGTTTGGGCCCTGGAATCTCTTCTACCTCCGAAATAGGCTCCTCAAAGAGAGGAACTGGTGATTCAGATGGTTCCCCTGCAGGGGGAGTGGGCTTTACAATGCCCAATCCCGTGGTGAGCTTTGCTTTGTGGAGGAGGGATCTAAATAGCTGTGGTTTGAATAAGCCCACAAATGAAGGCTGATCCGGGGCCAGGTCCTCATCCTCCGATAGGTCCTGTTCCCTAGTCTCCATATCCAGTGGCGAATGGGGTTCTGAGGCAGCCGAAGGGCCCGCGACCCCAGTAGGATTAGCTGGCTCCTCATATTGAGAACCCTCGATATCCACAAGGGAGGAGGCTGAGGCATCCACCCATGAGGCAGTACGCCTCTGGAGCTCCAGTTGAACCCCCTTCTGGATGGCCTGATGGATGAATGCTGCTACCTCCGGGGTTAGGAGGGAAGCAGTCTGTGCCCCTGTAGATGCCGCAGGGGGTTGGGGGGGAACCATAGTAGGGGATTGAGAAGTTCCCTTTTGAGGCTGGTCCGAAGAAGGCCCGAATAGGGCCTCCTGGATCTCAGGTTGAACGGGAGGTTCAGCCATAGTGTCATCAGGGGACAGTTGGGGAATGGGAGATCCTGGAAGGGCCCTCTCCCTAGAAGGGGTGGATGAAGAGGGGGGGAGGGGCGCAGGAGTCACAGGATGAGGTTCAGGATGTGATGAGGCCTCCCTAAGAGATGCCTCCTTGAGAGCCTTTTGAATGGAGCGCTCAATTGCTTCATGAAGACGAAGCTCCTTTTTGGCCTTGTCTGCCTGGCGTTTTGCCTCTTTAGAGGCCTGAGTCCCTTTGGGCTTCTTTTGAGGCACAGCTGAGGAAGGCCCTGGCAAGG